GTCGATGGCTGCTGGGCAGACGGTGACGTGTGATCTACGAAATTGTACTAGTGGGTTTTTCGATAGGATCAACGAGTGGTCGGAGAAGGATACTTATCATGGTGGGTTGGGCAACAGGAAATGGTCTGTGCGGAATTTGAGGAATTGCAAGATTTGTCGAGATATCAAGATTTTCATGATGTACCTCAGGCCAGTTTGAGATGGATATTGCGTATATATCCCGCCCTAAGCTACCGGAGCATCTTGTTAAGGATCAATCACCATCGACTGACACAGCCCCTGTGCCGGAAATGGCGGTTCAGGGCACTAAGAGGAGGGTAGGATAGTGATCGACGATTTTACTTGGGGAATGACGTTGAGGAAATGGGGAATTTTCCCCCGGTGTATTGGTCAGTGCGATATAGGATACTATAGCTTACTTGATAGGTTCAGTCTGGAATGAACCTTGCGGGTCGGCCTAAGAAGGGGCGGCATTTGGAGCTTGATGTTAGTTTGAAGGGTACAGCGACGACACGTTAAAGCTTCACTAATATTCATGCTACCTGCATTGCGTTAATAATTTGGTTAATTTCCCACCGGTTCCCTTTGTTGATATTTGGTTTCGAATGGTGTCGTATGTCGCTGTAGGAGGGGGAGACGGAAGAGGCAACAAAGAGATGAGCATCGGGAGGAGGTGACCAGTGTGTTGATATCAGACTGTTAATGATGTTTCTTGAGTACTTGGGAACATCATGTTCGGGTTAATCAATATGGCGTATGGTTGTGATGAAGTGTGGGAAATGTGGTAATTCATAAGGAGGGACCCGTCGATACGTTTGCATTGGTGCGTACTCGTACAGTGTCTCTCGGTATACTCAATGGAGGTCTTCTATCAGTTTTTTGGTAGTGGAGTGAATGATCCGTAAAGGGAGTCCTCTACTGAATGCCTCTGCCGCTGTTGCTCCTGCTCTGACACCCGTATCGAGATTGGGTTATCGGAGAATCTACCGAGGTACTTAGTATGATACGGATTAGGTCCACTGCGCTCCCCTCCCCTCAGCATCGTCGAGATATCAATCACAGATGCATCCGACAGAGGCACGACCACCTAAGTTCATCATACCACCGTTCGAGGCTGATTATAAGAGAGTTTATAAGCATATGTGGAGATCCTTTCGGGTGCGCTACTCCCATCTTTTCGCGTTAGATGGATAGCTGGTATTCTCGTAGTCGTCAGGCGAGAGGCTGGTGTTACCGCTCATAGAATTTCATAAAATTTCTAAAGTTTTATCGATACATATTTTCAGTCAGTGGTGATGTGGATGCCGCCCATAGGACTCGAAGGGGATCGTATGTGAGCTGGCGTTGAATATGTCAGGATAAGAAGAGGCTACGTCTGGGGGTATTCTGTAATGTCCCTCATGGTGCAGCCAGCGAGCTGCCAGATCCGAAAATACTACGAGATTGTACGATGGAAGAGGCGCAGGTTCGATCCCTGGTTATGGACATTTTTAGATGAAGTCGCCCCCACGTGTTATCGGGCAGCTGAGAGTCAAATCAGCGATGATGAATTCTGGAGACAAATGTGTGAGCGCATACGCAAGAGCAAAGACAC